CAGAGTCTCCAAATGGGAAGATGACAGTCTATAGGCTGCTCTTTTTCTTCCAGGATTTGAATGAAATCATTTTTGCAAGCAATGACCTGCCATCTCATAGACACCCTGATTATTTTCGTAGTTTGTATAGATGTTAGCTCTGCTGGAAGTTGTTGTTCTGATTGCATGCTAAAGAAACAACCCAGAAGTGTAGAGTCACAGTCCTGGTGTGGGAGCAGCTGAAGGGATTCCAGCTCCTGGCGGCTGGACTATCGCAGGAGTGGTCAGTCCTAAGTGTGCACATTCTATCTCTGGGGACCAGCCCCAGTGCTTGAGGGCAGCCCAGCTTGGGTGGCCCCTCACACCACTCAGCCCTCTGACTTCAACACTTATCATGGTTCCCCATCACTGACAAGCCTTTCCAGGCCTAACTTCATATCAAGCCTATGTCATCGCCCCAGCCTCTTCCTGTCAGTGCCCCAGGCAGACCCACACTCTTACTCAGACCATGCTCTACTCTGCACAGGCTGTATCATTTTCAGCATCCACCTCGCAGGCTATTCCCTTTGCCAGAAAACTTTTCCACCTTCCCTTGACCAAACTGTCCTTCAAGATAAATTGGATGCCATCCTCACCCCCACCTTCACTACCCTGCCCACTGTGGTCCCAGGAAGCCCCTGAATGTCTCTGCTCAACTGCTTCTGCACTACGAAAAAAATAATTAATTAAATCATAAATTAATACTAATAATAATAGAGTAGATAGTACTGAAACTCGGCAACTGGGACAGCACTTAATCCCAGGCGCTGTACGAGGCGTGGGAAACGCCCATAACTCCCCTGGCAAACCAGGCGAGGGTAACTTGGGAGACCTGAAAGGAGAGACCAGACCTAACCTCCAGGGGTCCCTCTGGCGCCTCCCCGCCCAGGCCCGCCTAGGCCCGCCTAGGCCCGCCCAGAGCGCCCGAGTCACCTACGGGTCGGGGCCGCCTGTAATTTGCATACCCATGGTGCACCACGGAAAGACCGGTCCACGGTGCTTGAAGTCCAGCTCCACGGGGACAGCATCGCCGTTGCAGGGCACGCTGCCTGCTAGAGACATGCTGTCGATGCAGACTCCACGCAGGGCGTGAGAACCACACAAGTGCAGAACAACCATGAGTGAGCTAAGTGTTAACTTGCTCTGGGAGGGGCCAAGCAGGTGTTGGCTGTTATACTCTGGTTTCTCTTCAGATCGTATAAATCTTTCGCCTTTTACTAAAGATTTCCGTGGAGAGGAACAATTCTGAGTCTTTACCCAATTTTTTGTGGCCTTGCTTTTAGCAGGGCTCTATTTCAAAGTTCAAAAATAGAACCGTCAGTTTTAGTTTTCTCAGTAAGCTGCTAGCAAGGTGATTGCTTGTGTGTTTCCAGTGGCTTTGTCACTGAGAAAACCTCTTTCAGCTGCTGGCTTATACATTTTCTTAAAGCATTTTTTTTTTCCCATACTTAGTTGCTTTGTTTTTCTTCATGTTATTTTTCTTTTCTTACATTATCTTTTGTTTTGTACTACGGCTTCTTGGGTTTTTATATATGGGCTTTTTCGTGGTTGTCTATGTTACTGTTTGAGGACTGGATTTTGCCCTAATTTCTCCAGTGCATTCTATGACCTTAAATCCTGGCACAGGAGCTCTCAAATATTTGCAGAACAAATTGGATATGTCATTTAATCTTTTCCACTATGTGTAAGGAAAATTCATCCAAACAAGTTTAAAGATCTAATTGCATTTATTTATTTTTTTTTTTAAGATTTATTTATTTATTTATTTATTTGTTTGTTTATTTATGCAAGCACTGGGTACAGTCAGAAGCGCGAGAGGGTGAGAGAATTCACCAGAGCCAGAGCGGGGAGCAGAACAGGCAGAAGGACTGAAGTACACTGCTGAGGGGAGCAGCGGGTGGCAGGAGAGGTCTGCGGCCATGTGGGACCCTCACCCGGCGGCCGGGGATCGAACTGGCGCTGCAGAGGCTGCGGGCAGCTTCGCAACCCAGCGCTCAACCGCTGCACCACCAGGGAGGCCCTGCATTTATTTTTCTTAAAGATTTATTTATTTATGAATACAAGAACTAGGGTGTAAGTCAGAGGTGGGGGTGGGGTGGGAGGGGCGTGAGAGGATTTGCCAGAGACAGATTGGGGAGCAGAACAGGCAGATCTACTGAAATACACTGCAGAGGGGAGCAGAGGGTCAGACAGGAGAGGTCTGTTGCACCATGTGCTCACCTCCCTGGCCGGGGATCGAACTCATGCAGCAGTGGCTGGTGATCGTTTCATAGCACTGTCTTTAACTCCTGCAACACCAGAGAGGCCCTCCAACTAAACGACTCCTGAGCTACACAGTATCCCGTGGAGCAAGGAGGGAGACCCAGCAAGAAATACAAAAATACAAAATGGAAGGTTTTCATAGTTGAACAAGATTATTAGTGCCAAAGAAAAGATTATTCCAGGCAAAAACCACCCGACCTCAGGGAAAGGCGGGGGGCGGGGGGGGGGATGATCCTTTTATTCAGATTTTTGTCTCACTAGTGCTAACCAGAAAACTCCAGTGTGATTGGTTTACAATTCCACTTTGGGGAGTGGCTGAAACTGGAGTTAGGTTAGGTATTAATTCTTGGGTGAGGCCCAGCATGAGGAACTCCATTTTGTGCCTATTTTTTTAATTTTTTAACATAAGCACTTCACGAGATTACTCTTCTAAGAACCCTATTAAGTAGGTTTTATTATTATCTCTTTTACAAGTACGGAAACTGAGGTATAGGAAAGGTCAAGTACTCTTACTCATGTCACACATCAGAAAGGAGTGGCGCTAGGATTTAAGCCCAGGCAGTGTTGCTCTTGAAACATGCTCTTCACCTCTGTGCTATTTGACAGGGTTCAGGAAATGCTATGCCAAAATACGTCACTTTGGTATGTTGAATATTTTATGCTGAGGGAATTAAAAAAAATAAAAAAGTCACTGACAGTCCAGTCCACCCCTGCCCTCTTCCCTTAAAAATCTGTCATAAAACTCTTAAGTTTTAGCAGAAAGGGGAGGTAAAAGGGGAGGTCCCAGGTTCCCTGCCCCACCCAAGGAAGGGTGGAACAGAAAGGAAAAGCTAGAGAAGGCAGGGGAAAAGCACTTGGGAGAGGATAAAAGGAAGACAAGGAGACTTGGAGGAGTCCCATGGAGCAGAGAGACATGTGAAGAAGCAGCCAAACTTGCTTCTTGGCCTTGGACTTGCACCTGGGACTTGGGGGACATGACAGGAGACACGAGGAAGAGACAGAGACGTGGGTGAGAGACCTGTAGGAAGACTGACAATGGTAGCCTTTATCTTGACTTGAATTTTCATTTTGCTCTTTTCCTTCCACCTCTTTCCTTGGGTTCCCCACCAGAAGGTGCCTTAGACTTGTGGCAAACTTTAGGGCCTCGTGGCCCCCCTTTGGGCTAAACCTATTTGGCTGGGCATTTACCTATGAGTGGATGGATAATTTGGGGTGTTTAAACCATTTTAACTATATTCTTTCTCTTCACTCTATTGCACAATAATTGTATAAAAGTTCTTTTCTATTGAAGGTTTTACGCCCTAAGAGTATGTTTTGTGATGGCAGAACACATTAGAAATGGCAGGTTTGGTGGTCCCGGGATGCCCATCATTCTGCCAGCTAAACAAACTAATACAGAGAAAAGGACGCCCTTATTTCAAAAGACAAAAGGACTCAGAACCAAGCAGGCCTTGCTAAAATTCCCCCAGTTTGCACTTAGCTCATACACTAACTACATATTCTTCCACAACTGTCCACTCTTCAAACTTAATGTAAACAATATTCAGGTTTGAACCATTTCTTCTGATCTTTCTTTTCTTATGAAGGCGCCTGTCATGTAAAATATGTTTTAAGTAAATGCATATTTTTTCCCCTGTTAGTCTGTCTTTGTCAACTGAAAAATAATAATCACCACTGTGATGAGAAAAGATTAAGAAATTTTATTTTCCAGAGTCAAGAATGAGGGCCAGCCCTCAAGTTCCGATCAGTGGCTCCCCCAGCCTTAACCCCCAAGGCTCGCAGGGACACACCAGTGACACCCAGGTTGGTTACAGTATAAAAACATTACCCAGGGGAAAATGAGTAACTCCCAAGGTGGCTTGAATACCCGCTTAAATGCTGTCATCACGAAAGATGAAAGAAAAGTGCAAGGAAGCCAGTTATGGGGAAGTCACCAGGGAAAGCACGAAAAACTAGGGTAAGATTTGTTAAGCAGATTTCGGTGGGTGCCTTCACTGATAAAATACTCTCTGGGGTTAGTCATCCTTCTTTTCTGGTACACAGGGAGACACCCTGACAAGCTATTTCCTTTATAAATGTAATTTTCCCTCACAAAACGGTTAAGTTCCGTTTTCATAGCATCATCTATTTATCGAAATAATACCTACGCCAAAGTAGCCTATTTTGAGGTGGCACATGGGCCGCTCTTCAGTGTCTTCGAAGGTAGAAGTCACAGGAAGCAGATATGAGGGAGAAGGACAGGGCAGGGACGACCCCGTTTGTAGGTGTGGGCACCCGGGGAGCTGGACACTGGGGGGAGACCTGGGGAAGGATCTGGAGGGAGCCCGCTTCTGGCCTGAGCCTGAGGTTCCTGCGGGGCATTGAGGGGCGCGATCTGAGGAGGCAGAATTAAAGATGGGGCTGAGCTGAAATGCTACGCAGGGGTAGCGAGAGTGGCCGGGGCGGGCGAGCGCGCGCAGGCAGCCGGTGCGCACCCAGGCTGCGCCGCACAGCAAATCCCAGCGGCCCGACTTTCCCGCGCACCCCAGGCTGCGCCCCCCCGCGCCGGCACCCGCAACCGCAACCGCCTGCTCCCCAAACCCCACCCACAGGACGTGGCGCGAGGCCGCGGGCGAGCCTTCCGGGCGAGCTGGGACGGGGAGCCGGCGGCGCGCGCCGGGCGTGGCGGGAGCTGTAGTTGGGAAGGGCCCAGATGGCCTCTCGAGTCACGGCCTCCTCGGTCACTTGAAGGTCAGGTCTAGAAAACGGTGGTGCTCCCGGGGCAGGGTGCCCGTCCGGCGGCGGCACGGGGCGCCCGGGGCCGCGTCCCCCCTCCGCAGCGCGTGGCACTTCCAAGCCTCCACGATCTGCTCCACCTGCAGCGGGAGGCCGGTCACCGCGGGGGCCCCGGGCCAGACCCGCCCCCCGGGCCTCCCTCACCCCCACCCGCTCCCGAGTGGGTCCGAGCCCGGTCCCCTGCGCCCGCACCGGGATGAGCGGCTCCCGCCGGTTCTGCTCTTCCAGGGCGCTCAGCTCCGCCGGGGCCAGCAAGGCCAGTCTCAGCTCCCGCACCACGGGGGCCGCCACCTCGGCCACGGGCCGCTCCAGCACCGCCTGCGAGCGTCATGCGGTCGGGCGCTTGCTCCGCCGCTCGCTGCCCGGTTCCCGAAGCCCGAATCTCCTTCAGCGCCCCCACCCCGCGTCCCTCGAGGCCCCACTCACCGCGCCCACGCGCGCCCAGCTCCGAGCGGCCAGGACGAGCTCAGACTCGTCCACGCGGAGCTTGTCGCTGCGCAGCAGGAGCAGCAACGCGGGCGCCGACAGCTCCAGGAAGCCGCGGGTCCGGAGCGTCTCCTGTGGGTCCCCAGATGGGTCAGGGGGGAGCAGAATGAGGTGTGTGGGGTTAGAGAATGAAGGTGCGGGAGGGCTGTACCTGACTGTGGGCCTCTATGAAGGCTATGCAGCACTCCTGCAGCGGGCCCAGGCCAAAGGTCACGGCCACCTGGGGCAGACAGAGGAAGGTCAGGTGGGAGACCAGAGGCCATGTTCCCCGGCCCTCCACACCCGGGCGACCGGCAAGCCTGTCCAGCAGCCCTCACCTGCAGGGCCTCACAAACCAGCTCCACATCCAGCACCTTCACCACAAACTCCAGGCACAGCTGAGAACAAATATGAATGTGAGTTTGTGCCAAGCTGTCCCTGCTCCAAGACCCCAGCCAGCCCCACCCCAGAAGGAGTGAGCAGGCTTAGAACAATGAGCCACCCAGGCAGGCTCCTAGCAGCTCCAGACCCACCCAGACCAGGCCAGGGTGGGCAGAGAATCACCTTGGCCTAGGGCTTGGCAAACCTGGAGGCGCTCAGGACTAGCAAAAAGCCAAGCCTAGCCACCTACTTTCTAGCACATTCTCCACCAATTAGACCAATAAGCGTCATGCAAAAGTACTCTCCCTTTCAGGATTCTTCCACCACCTGTCCCCTCCCTGACTCAAAGACACTCCTGGCCAGACCCGGTCACCCTCTCCAATCTCATCGCATCCTTTCACACTCTTAATCCAGCTATACTAAAAACTTACTAGCTCCTTTTGTGCCTCTGTGATTAGAATGCCATCTTCCCACACCCTCTCTAAACAAACTTCTACAAGTTCTACAAGACTGTTTCCTCCTCCAGGAAGTCTCCCCAACTCTCTCCGCAGTAGCAGGACTAGATACCTCCTCCACTTAGTCTCAGACCATTTATCCTCATCTGTCACCCTTCTTACGCCATCCGGTTGTATTCTCATGTCTGTTTTCTCTCTCGGAAGAATGGGAATCAAACTGACTTGTATCTACAGCACCAGCCATAACCACTCTGTGTGCCACACAGGGCATACACGAATGTCATCTACATGGAGAGCTACCCATACTTCCCTCTATATTGGTACACATCCTTCTCCAATCCAGGAGCGTGTGAGACAATAAGAATCCAGCCCACTGCGGCAAGGGAAATGAGAGAGTGGCAGGCACAAAACCTACCTCTCGAAGTTCCTCCAGCCCATACTCCACAGCAGCTGTCAGCACCTCCAGCACCTGCAGAGTGGGTGGTTGGGGGGATGGAAGGGAGTTTCCCCTGTTCCTCAGCCCACCCCCTGCTTCTCCCAACCCAGTGGGCTCACAGAGTGGCGGTGCAGCTTGACACTGTTGGTATACAGGAACTCTAGCACTGCCAGGAAGGCCTCAGCTGGAACAGTGCTTAGCACCACGGGGTTAGGTACTGCAGATCCTGGCTCCAGGCCCAGAAGTTGCTGGAAGAAGTTGCATCTACAGGCCAACAAGCACCGGTGGGCAAACACCTCCTGCCTTTCTTGACCAACTAAAAAGCGAATATCACTGTGGGAGAGAGAGACAGAGAGCTGGGGGAGAAGAGGTCAGACAAAGCAACTCTAGATTTTGTCTTTGCCCACTTGGGCCTTTGGTCCCTTAGCTATCATAGAAGAGGCAGGGCTGAGTTCTTCCAGCAGGTCTGGAACATGTAGACCTGGGTTCTAGTCCCAACTCAGCCCCATGGTAGTTCAGGCAAGTGACTTCCTAACTTTGTGTTTTGGACTTCTTGCCTATAAAATGGGATGGTAGACCTCCCTGGTGGCCCAGGGATTAAGTCTCAGCACCATCACCGCTGCAGCCTGAGTTCCATCCCCGACCAGGGAGCTGACCCACATGGCGCAGCAGACCTCTCCTGTCTCGCCTGCTGCTCTCCTCAGCAGGGTGTTTCAGCAGATCCACTTGATCTGCTCTGCACAGTCTGTGCTCTGCACAGTCTCTGGTGAATCCTCTCACCCCTCCCCCACAACTCTGGCCTACACCCCAGTTCTTCTACACAAAAATAAAAATAAAAAAATACAAACAATTTTTTTTTAATTAAAAAAGAAATGGGATGGTAATCCCAAACCCTCAGGTCTCAGAGGAAATGGCTTGATCACAGGGGAGAGGAGAGACCAGGGCTGATGGCAGCAAAATTGAACCCACATCCCTCCACCCTTCTGCCTCCCCAGCCTGAGTCTTGGGGGAAGGGAGGCTTCTCCACAAACTGCAAACAGAGCTTTTTTCAGCCTCCTTCAGGCACCTCCTTCAGGAGGGGGGTGCAGAGTGCACTGACTGCAGACAAGTCGGTCTTGCACTATCATGAAGCTAGACCACATTTTCCATTTTCATGATTACTTCCGGCCCAGCCTCTGAGCCTCAGAACAATTTAGGGAGTAGGAGGCAGGAGATGAAGCCTAAGCTACCTGGAACCTCTTAATCCCTGGTCCAAGACCCAGGGCCCCACTACTCAGGCAAGACTGTGGTCCCTAAAGCAATAGGGTTATGGCCTTAGGGAGGAGCAGAGCTTTGAAGCAGTGAGACAGAAAGCTGCATTTTAGTTCTCTGGAGCAGCCCTCCCCCTGCCCCCATCCCTGATTTCAGACACCTAGCATCCTGGGCAGGCCATGAGCCCAAGGCAGCACCCTTGAACTACTTCCTCTCTGATTCTGACTCAATCCCTTGAGCTTTGTTCTTCTGTGAATCCCTAGTTTACTCCTCAGCCTCTCCAGGGAAGACACAAGTTACTTTCCCTTTCAGGATCCAGGGGGCAGACAGCCCTTCTCTGCCAGAGATGGGGAGAGAGGGGGAAGGAAGGTCTTTGCCTAAGATCACACAACTGCTCTGAGCTCCAGCCCCCTCTACCTCTCCCCTTCCCCACAAATGGCTGTCAGGATATCAAGGAAATTGAGTGACCAGTAGCCACCTTCTACACGTCCCCAAACTGAGCTCACCAGGGAGGAGGGTCAAGTCCTAATTCCCCACCTCTTCTGTAGTCTGGGCTTCTTCAGAGTCCTGGGGCCCAGCCGATACTGCTAGGGAAAATCCAGACAGGCGCTATCCCTCACCTGTATAGGGGGTTGTTGACGAGGCTTCGGAGTGCTGTGGAAAAGGACGAAGTCTCCCCATGCACAACCAGTCCTGGGGTCTCCATGGATAGATAGGACAGGGGGAGTAAATAAGTGGAGTAGCTTGCTCTCGGTCTGTGAGGTAGTGGGTAGGAAGAAGCAGGAGGCCTAGCCAGGCCTTAGAACTGGCGAGGAGACTAGAAAGACCAGAAAGGGCGGAGCAGGAGCTTCAGAGGCCTGTTTGCTGAGAAGCTAAAGTTTTGGGGATGGGGAAGGAGAGGACCATGTTCCTAATGGAAGCATCAGGGGCCTGTAGAGGCCCAAGCTTCCACTCAGGGTTAGGGACAGACTCCCGGAAAGGGCCAGGAGACACTGAGTTGGAGTTGATATAGGAGAGGCTGGCGGCTGGAAGCTGGCAGCAGATGAGGCCCCAGCTGGGAGCCTGCCCAGGCAGCACTGGGGTAGGAAGCCAGTGGGTTTCCACGGAAACTGGAGTGAGGCCTGAGAGCAGGCCCCGCCTATGTCTCACAGGTCCAGGAAAGCTTCAGCCCTGCGGGGCCATAAGCAAAGTCAGAGGGTCTTAGCACCCTGGCCTTGCACAGAGTTCAAAGTTGAAAATCCCTGCTTCTCCTCACTTCCTCTACAAAGGCACACAGTGTCTGCATCAGGTTTGCTAGGCCTGGGGAACCCCCCTCAACAGGGAAAGTCCTCACCCCCATGGATAGTTTCCTGGGCCCAGACCAGGCTTGTCTGGGCAGTCCCATCCGAGTCCCGAGGGGGGAAGGGGAGATCAGGTGAGGAGGCGTCAGCTCTGGGAAAGGCTCATGACCTCTGGCATCCCTGAAATGAAACTCAGTGTGTGGGGGAGGGGTGCTGGGGTACAATGGGGACTCCCAGGGAATACAAGAGGTGTGGCCAGCTGGGAACAAGCCCTAGGACACTTGGGTCAGCAGGGGTCAGAAAGCTGGACTAGGGTTCACTGCGAGTCACTGCTGTGTCAGGGAGTTCTGGCTGTCCCAGCCCCCCTGCACTCCAGCACACAGCCCTGAGCTGAGGAAGTCATCCAAGCCACACCCTAGCTCTGCACTGGGAGCGGAAATGTTTGTCCTTGTTGAGGCTGATGGGGAGACCATAGAACCATGACGTACTCCTTCCTGTGGGCTGGATCCTGATTCCTGAATAGCCACCCCCGCAGCCTCAAGTCCTCCCATATCCCAGGCCTCTGTGACTTGCTCACAAGACGCGAGTCAGTCTTCACAAGGGAGAAATGGATGGTGGCTCAGGGGCCCTGGGTTGGGGCAGCACCTTTCTGACCAAAGCCTCTCTAGGTGTCCCCTCAGTGATTATTGTCATGGTAATACCCAGGCACCTGTGGCTCAGCACACGCTCACAGTAGTAACACTCAGGTTAAGCCAGAGCCAGGGCTGGAGGAAGGGAAGCAGGGAAGGAGTGCTTGCCTAGCAACCCATGGCAACTCCACAACACAGGCCAGGGGCATTGCCCCTCCCACTGCCGAGGGCGGTGGAACAAGGAGAGATTGGAGGCCAAAGGCTCCCGGTGACTCAGGTGCCTGCCTGCAGGAGTTTCGAGAAGAGAGGGCAGCATCCCAGAACTGAATTTGGAGGTAGGGCCAAAGGCAAGAAGCAGAGGGTGGAAGCAAGTTCATGAGTCACCTGCCCTGGGTATGGGCCAGTTGTTTGGGGGTGGGGGTGGGATCTTTGTATAAGCCACCCTAGGAACAGGTAGGGGTGCAAAATGACTGGATTCAATACCCAGACCTAGAAGGATCTGTAGCTCTGGGATCTGTCTTTCCCTCCTTCTGGTTTGGGGTTGGCCACACCACTGTCCAGGATGAGGCAGAGGCAGATTTCCCCTTCTGACAAAGTCAGGTGGAAACGAGAAAAGGCAGTGTACTCAGAGCTCACTTAGCTAACCCCCAGAGGAAAAAGGAGCGTAGGGAGCAGCAGCCAGCCCAAGACGAGATTGTTACCAGCATCTCTTCCCTTGCTTACGTCCTAACGGCCCTTAACCTAGGAATCCACATAGCTCTAGACTACTTGAGTCACCTGTTCCCAAATCATAGCTAAGAAGGGGCTATAGCGGGGGAAACGAGTAAGAGACGAGGTGGTTGGTGTACAGAGGTGCGCGGTAAGTCCATCCCGTCCAAGTGTGAGCCTTCCAGTCCGCAGATCCATGGCTGGAAGACCTGCGTTCCCTGGACGTCAGGAAGAGGAGGCTGCTAGAGACCCAGGGCTGAAACTATCACCGGCACAGCCCCCAGGCCGCCTGCCCAGCATTGATGAGGCGCGACCGGCAGTGCCCGGCCCGGCTTCCCGCCGGGGCTCGGTGCTGGGCCTGGCCTCGTCCTTTTCACGGCGCAACTCGCTGGCCGGGCCAGGCTTGGGTGCTGGAGGTCGGCGACCATCCCAAGGCCCTGTGCCCCCTCTAGGCTCGCGGGTCAGCTTCTCGGGGCTGCCCCTGGCGCCTGCCCGTCGGGTGGCGCCCTCGTACCGCACGGAGCCCGCACCCGGGGAGCGCTGGGAGGCAGCAGGCGCACAGCGGGCTCTGGAGGCGGCGCTAGCCTCGCGGCTGCGCGATGCAAGCTATTCGGGCGCAGAAGCAGGGTCGCTGGCCCGGGAGCTCTGCGAGCAGGTGCGAGTGCGCTTGCGCGAGCTCTGCCCCCCGCGCTACAAGCTGGTGTGCAGCGTGGTGCTGGGGCCGCGCGCCGGCCAGGGCGTGCGCGTCGTCAGCCGCGCGCTCTGGGACGCGGCCCGCGACGGGCTGGCTTCTGCCTCCTTCACCAACGCTTCGCTCTTTGCCGTGGCCACGGTCCACGGGCTCTACTGCGAATGAGATGGCCTTCCAGTTCTGCAAAATGGTTTATTATCCCAGGAGGAGTTCCCCTCTGGGGCTTACATCTCAATAAATAAATGTCTGTCAATAAATAAAACTGGTCCATAAATAATGCCCCCTAGCTGGGGGCTAAGGCTCAGGCTTATCTTGGAGAAGGGGCAGGAGACACCGAGGATAGGAGCCTCCAACTCCAGTAAAGCTGGTCCCTGATTCCCTGGGGGATTCAGTCCAGAGCCCCCAGTGAGGCACCAAAGGGACAAGAAGGGCCACAAAGGCAAAGGCCAGAACCTTGCAGGCACAGGCCTGAGGCCTGAGGGTTTGGGTGGTGGCCTGCTTCACATGTTGGGGCCTAGGCTGCAGGGCAGCGGTCCCGGAGCAGGTGCAGAGCGTAGCGGAGCCGCTGGCGCAGATCTGGGGAGCATCCCAGCTGCTGGAGGTGGGAGGCCAGGTAAGTACAAGCACTGCGATTGCGGCCCACAAAAGTCACAAGGAGAGGCTCCCAGCCACTGAGGATCAGCTTGGTGTGGTCCCCGTAGAAGTTCACCTGTGCACAGGATAGCAACACTGGTCAGGACCCAGGCCATTTCTTCCCCAGCACCCTAGGCCCCACAGACCTTGCAGTCAACTCCAGGAGCGGCTCTTACCTGGACAGTGCCATCACTAAACAGCATGAGTAGGGCCTGGTCAGTCTTGACCCACTGCAGCAGGAGTGGGGGCACAGGCACCTCTACTTCTTCCACACTGGGTAGGTCTCCACCCTGAAAGCAGGGACATTGTCAGGACCCTTCTGGTATGAGTCTCCCTTAGAGGTTCAGCCTCTAGCTTTGAGCACACAACCCCCCCACCACCACCCCAAAGGGGAATAAGAAGGAATCAGAATGTTTTAGTTCCCAGTCCACACACCTTCATGAGGTGCTGCTCCATGTAGGAGGTGAAGTACCTCAGGACACCCAGCTGAGGCTGCAGGGCCCGTGGCACAGCGCTCACAGAAAAGGAGTAGTGCTTTGTGCTGGTGGGGTTGTAGTGTACGGTCCTAGAGCAGAGGAGACAGGTCAGCAGGAGCCCCGCACTGTCTCCCTTCTCCTGAGAGACTCCAGGCCCCGGAGCCAGACTGAAGGTATCAGGGCCTGAAGGTACTAGATGTCAGGGCCCAGATACAAGGCACCCCACAACAGCACTTACTTTTTGTTGGCTGACAGGGCCATGTGTGTACCATTGTTGAAGAGCACAGCCACATGGCGGCTGGACAGTTGATACCCAAAACCATACTTGTTGGAGTAGTCAATCCACTTGCTGACCCATACCAGCGGCTCTGGCTGTGCCAGGGGAGCTGGGTTCTGTTCCGCTGTCAAGGGAGAGAGAAAAAAAGACTGTTTCTCATCTCCCAGTCAAAAGACTCCCACACCATTCACAGGATCAGACCGCAACCTTACCTGGGGGCATGAAGGCCAGGCAGTTTCTCAGAGCACAGAGGGCTGACTCTACCACTGTGGCCACAGTCAAACCTTCTTCAAACCCTGAAGGGAACAGGGCAATGGGAATTAGACATTAGTTACCCAGGACCCAGACTATGTTGCTCTGCCCGCTCTTTCCCTTTGGTCCCTGGCTTAGCCCCAGTGCCCTCTAGCACTTCTCATCCTCCTGGCTGCTCACCATCTCCACTACTCGCCAGGGTCCCACGGGGTGAGCTGTCTTCAGGCGCTGTCTCTACCAGGCTGACGGGGCCTGGACCAGAAGCTGCTGGAGCCTGGAGGATTAGGTAGGGACAGGGAGTGAGATGGGCCCCAAGAGCCAAATCTTCGAGAGTCCATGGCCCAGCCCTGCCCTGGCTGCCAGGGCACCTGAGGTCAGCCCCGCCTGGCTAATGAGACACAGCCAATTAGGACACCACGAGGCCAGATGCTTCACCAGCCTCTTTTATCCCAGGCTTCCCACAGCTGCTAGGGTGGGGGTGAGTCAGGACAACACTGCCCACGTGAGCACCTCACCTCGGGCCTGGCATCCTGGTGGCCAATGGATGTCCGTGTGAGGCCATTCACCAAACAGGAGACTTCATCCCGCTCTTCAGGATGGTTTTTACCTGGGGAGGGGGTGGGTATAGGCCTCAGCCTGCTGCCTAGCTCCCTACTTCCCATAGGATTATACAGATAGGCATACCCAACTGCATATATAACACACACTCTCCCCAGGAGTTCACAGGCACCCAAACTAACACCCCCAAAATGTAACAAGTCTCCCTGCTACTTTGTACCCTCAAACTATTGACATCGCAGACTCACTCTTATTCTTCTTCCTGCCAAAAAGGCTCTTGGTAACTTTGACAAACAGAATTCTAGCTGGGTTAAGGGGTATCAGGTCTGGGACTGTCACGCAGCTGCTGACAGGGAGTCGGTCCGGAGTGTAGCCCTGAGGGGGGGAGCCATGTGAGCAGAGAGAGACCCCAGGGGTCCTGTCATCTGCCCCCATTCAGTTCCCTGAGAATATACAGACTGGACTTCGGTGCTGCTTGTGCCACAGACCTTGGTAAAGAAGTCATGGCGCAGGATCTGGTCAATTGAGGGGCGGTCTTGGGGTGAGGCTCGAAGAATGGTGGCAAGGAGCTGCCGGGCAGACTGTGAGAGGCTGGCGGGCAGCGTGTAGTGAACCTGCTTGATGCAGCGGTACGTCTCCTTCAGGTCAACAGTCTCAAAGGGGGGGCTCCCACACAGCAGCGTGTACCTGTGGGGCAGAGCTAAAGGGGTCAGCAGTAAAGTGGAAGGTATGACCCCACCATGCCCCCACCTGTGTGCAGATGACCCTGGGACTCACATGACACAGCCCAGGGACCATATGTCTGCCTCAGGACCATGGCCCTGTCTCTGCAGCACTTCTGGAGCCACGTAGTTGGGAGTACCACAGATGGTCCTGAAAAGGGCAGGAAGGGGGAGAGGGAAAGGTTCAGAACCAGCCCAGCTAGTTCCCCCCCCATCCCTGCCCCCACTATGAGTGCAGACAAAGCAGCTGCCTGTCACCAAAGGCAAGAGAACTCCTGCTTGTCCTGGGACAATGGATGCCGGGGATGGCAGCTGAGTCCCCACCCACTCGCCTGGCCCAGCTGCTCAGCTGCTCTGCAGGACAGGGAGAGGCCCTGACCCCCAACCCAATCCTCTCCTCCAGGGTCAGAGGGCCCATCACAGATGCCTTCCCCTTTCCCCCACTCCCGTCTGTCAGACACCCATTCAGACTGTCACTTCCCAGGGTCTATGTCACACACACCAACACCAGCTGTCACATCCCCCATAAACACTCATCTGCCACACTTGCTCTCTGTGCCACTCACAGCCGCCATCGCAGCCACAGCAGGGTCTTCTTACACAACCAGGGAGTCCTGTCCTCCCATTCCCACACGCTCAGTCTGTCCCCAACACACACCTAGCCCCATCCACACACAGAGGCAGTCATACACCTCCAAGAATCCTTACACACCCATCTGTGTCAGGGACTCACACATGCACAAGACCCTCAGCCTTTCCATCTGTCCCAGCAACCCAAGCTGCCACCTCCACCCCCAAATACGCACAAACAGCCATCATCCCTTCCCTGCCATCACATGCACATATCAGGCAGTCATCTTGCCTCCCACACACACAGTCACGCACATCACTGTGTCACACACAGACTGTGGCCACCCCCTTCTCACTCACTTCTTCCTATGCTCTGGGGGCTCCATCTGGGTCGCCAGCCCAAAATCCCCCATCTTCAGTTCCATGTTCTCGGTGATAAAAAAATTTCCTGGACCAAGACAAAAAGGTGTGTCAGACTCCTTTCTCTCTGCCTTCCACTCCCCATTCTGCTGGCAAGCAGTCTCACCCAGCTTGAGGTCTCGGTGCAAGATGCCTCGCTGGTGCAGGTACTTTAATCCAGAAAGGATCTGTCGCAGGTAGTAGCGCACTTCTGGCTCCAATAGGGTGTGCCGGGCCTTCCAGATGTGGGCAAGGGACTGTGGAGAGTGACTGCTCAGTCCCTGGCCTGCTCCCCCTGACCCTCCCTGTACCCAAGCTAGCTGAGGAAAAACAGGCCCCTAACGCTGGGTATTCAGGCCCTGTTTCCCTGCTACGCACATCACCGTCACCCTCCCTTCACCTTCCGGCTGCAGAGCTCCAGGAAAATGTATATGTTGTCTGCATCCTCAAAGTGGTGCGAGAAACGCACGATGTGGCGGTGCTGCAGGTCGCGGTGCAGCTCAATTTCGTTTAGGATCTGCAACAGGGCCGGGGGGTTGTCATCCTCCAGGACTCCCACGCCATCATCCCCACCCCACCCCTAGTCCACTGGGCCTGGGCCCAGGCCCACCTTCTCCCGCTGATGCGGCTTAGTGATGCGGCTCTGCGAGATGACTTTGACCGCGAAGGCGTTGCCAGTCTCGGTGTCAGTGGCCTCGTAGCAGCGGGCGAAGCCTCCCTACGGGGAAGGGGCATCAAGTAGGGCGCTCCAGGGGAGGCCGCATCTGGCCCGAAGACGTCCCCAAGCCGAGGGCCAGCGCCCCAGACCCGCCTTGTCAGCGGCCAAAAAGGAGCCCGGCGGGCACCCTTCCACCCCGGCTAGCCCGGCTCCCCGATCGCCCCCCGCCCCGCTTACCTTGCCCAGCAGGCGGCCTTTGGAGTAGGTGCGGCCGCTGCGCGGGTCCGTGATCAGACGTCCAGGGTCCGGCGCCGGCGGCCCGGCCAGCACCTCGGGCTCGGGTCCCGGCATGGCACCCCGGGGCGGCCCGGGTCCGGCCGGGGGCGCGGGGGGAGCGGCAGCACGCGGGAAGGGGCGCGGGGACAGGAAGCCGGCGGCGGGCTCCATGCGGGCTGTGCGTCGCCGCGCGGACCCGCCTTGTTCTCGGTTCCGCCCGGCCCGGGCTGCGCGTGGCGCTGCCGGGACTCGCTACGCTGCGCTCGCGCCCGAGGGAGCCCGGCGTTTTTATCAATGAACGCCGGCCCCTCGCCTGCGGCTCGTCACCGAGAGACCGCCCCCTTCCTGGCGGCGAGTCA